AGTCATCGAGATTTTGGATTTTTTGGATCTCTGAAATTGAAAGGGTACAAAAGATTAATACACAACTTGTTGAAGTATCGTTTATGTTAATTTCCTCTCTCGATAAATTGTATGGTCCAACGGGCTTATGATGATAAATGGCTTTGGGCTTCAATTCCTAACAGAGAAAATTACCTTATATATTTAAATTAAAGTTCCAATTTCAAAAATCAAATTTTAATAGTTTTTTTTCTTTCAATAATCAGATCCTAATTATCTTTTAATGATATATAATACACATATATAAATATAATTTACACATACATATTATATACCTATAGGCTAAAGTTATCATTCATTATCCTATCCTCATTATCCTATCCCATCCCATCCCATCCCATCCTGTACACCATCTCCACCGCCCATAGAAAATTCTCTCTCAATATTTACAAGTGAAACTTTCTCTATCTATCATTTATCTCTCTACATAATTGCAAAAAAAACTTGTAAAAAATGCTCTCTCTCACACACACACACACCCACCCACATCATTTGCTACTGAAACTTTCTCCCACTATCATTTATCTCTCTATAATTTTTCAACGGATTGAGAAAACATACAAATCATCTCTCTAAAATATTTTTCTTTCTCTAGATCCATCACATATTTCTTCACATGGCAGCGCGAGTAAAGGTTCGTATACTATGCATAATTCACTTTTTATGTTAATCTCTTTCTTTAGATCTCTCACATATTTTGACATCGATTGTTAATGAATTTCAAACCTTAAGCATGCTATATGATAGAATGACTATTAAACTCTGTTTGATAAGCTGTATTTTCTAGGAAAGTTGAAAATTATCAGTTTCTTTTCCAATTTTTTGTCTGTTTAACATACCAAATTTTCTAGGGAATTAGTTTTCTTATTTTAGCTCACGTGACCCCTTATTCTAGGAAATTGTGGAAATGAAATTTCCTTGGCTATGGTGGTTTTTCATTTTCTTGGCAATTGAAAAGAATTATGCTATTTGTACAAT